TAAAACTCTGATATGACAATGATTTCCTATGTAGAGGGCACATTACTTTGCCTCCACTTCAATGCCCGTGTGGAACAGGTTATTCTTCTGTGGTAAAAGAATTTTTTTTGCTACTACAGTTTGCTTGGTTTCTAGAATCTGGAGATCTCACAAACACTACGGTCGTCTACTGTGTCTTCTCTTTGTCCTTCTCTTATTTAACACAAATCATTTTTTGAGAAGAGAAATAATCATATACTTTTGCTTATGACCACCTAGCCTCTCACAAAGTATCTCTCTCAAAAATATTAGCTTGATTCAGCGCCTTTGGGTTGCCAGTACGGTGTCCCTTTAAGAGTGTAGAAGGACTCCCCTGCACTGAGTAATTGTCCTCCTCTTTCCCTGCTTGTGATTCCTTGAAAATTAGTCCACATAGACTACTTGTATTGTAGAAAGAAATATGTCTTATAAACATTCCCAGAGATGTTGATAGTAGAACTTTCTCATAAACACTTTTATTGTATTTCTCAAGCCTGGCTTCTTATATCTAAAATGCTCTGTTTCTTTTAGATAGAAGACTTCAACAATTAAATTTGATAACCAATAAATCTGGTCATCAATAATTAAACTTAAGAGTCATTTTAAACTTCTGTTTAATAAATTAAATCACATAAATTGCCATATTTAAGGTAAAATTTTTCAATATCAGTAACTTTCTTCTTTATGAGGGAAGCAGAATAAGTATCAAAAACTTAAGGAATTAAAAAGATAAGCCTCAATTTATTGTCCATTTATTAGCTCTATAATTATTGATAATTTCTTCTTTGTTAGGCTGCAATTTTCACTAAAAATAAAGATATCAGTATTCTTGTGAATATTAGTGCTTACAGTAAATGTAGGAGAGATACTAATGGAAATTGTTATTAATGTTAGATACAATTGACATTTTGATTGTCTTTCTCATTTGTTCTTTGATCTTATTTGTAGTCTTTTTAGATCGGACTCATAGTGATCCTCCTGTTTACAGCCTCCCAAGTGCTGAGATTACAGTCGCACGCCACCACGGTCAACCTGAATTGCCGACCCAACACTCTTTGGGAGTGGGGCCGGCATGGCAGGCCTGGGGATCCAACCCCTGGGCCCTGCGCCTGCTTCCAGGCGCTTTAATTCACTGAGCTATTTTGGCCAGCCCTCTCTTATTTGTAGTCTTGATTTCCATGACCTGCTCTTGCCTTCTTTTTTCTTTTTCCGTATTTAGGACAGGGTCTACAGGGCCTACAGGGTCTTACGACGTACATCGAACTCATAGTCCTGTTTTCAGCCTCCCAAATGCTGGGATTACAGGCGTGCACCACCATCCCCAGTCTCAGTCACCGTCTCCGCGCTCTCCGCGGGCAGGGCGGCACAGCACACAGGGGATCAAACCCTGGTCTCTTTGCTCTACTTAAGCAGGTGTTTTCACTCTCTGAGCTATCAGGCCAGTCCTACTCTTGCATCCTTAAGCCACTATTTGTTCAAGTATCATTTCATTTGATACTATAAATACTATGAGTTTTGTACAGTAAGAATCATTATCCCCTTCTTCTATAAAGAAAATGAGTTTATATGTTTTTTTTTTCCCTAAGATTACCTGGCTTATAAAAGGCAAGCCCAGGAGAACTCACTAATCTTCATCATGATAGATTTTATAAGATGAAAGATCTAGAAATCATTCTAACATTGATAGTTTTGAATAAAAAAAAAACCTATCATTTTGAAGAAAGTCTTCTCTTTGTTATAAATTTCCATAGTGGGCAACATTTATTTAGCAATGAAGATATATTTCTCACTATGTAGCGCAGCAATACTATGCATTTCTAGCATGCACAGGACAGCTCTTGCGGGTGCTTGCTCATACCTTTTCTTTTCAAATAAGAAAGCTGCCAGCCAGTAACTGAGCCTGTATTCTTGACCACTGCACAGAATGTCATTTTGTCTTAGAAATTTTTTTTGAAGTAAGATAGGTTTTTTTTCTTCTTAAATTTTTTATTCATTTTAATAAGAAAAAAGATAAAATAGCAATGAAACAGTTTCAAAACAGGTTAGTCGGGCAGTTACAATAATTAATACATTGCATAATGTTGTAGTCTTCATAGCAGTTATTCAGAAGACAAGATGCAGACATGGTATCTTGTCTAAACAATATTAGTATGAATCTTTCTTCTTATTGAACTAAGAGAAAGTAGCTGTATATCTCTCCTAACTATTTTGTACATACATACACATATTTTTCCCTACAAAATAGTCCTTTATTTAGATCACCCTTTTTTGTTTTGTTTTGTCAGAAATGGGTGTTCCATTGCTGTTAGAGAAGCTGTATTTGGAGAAGTCTTTAAAGGACTTTTTCATACTTGATGCCAGTCCCAATAGTGTAGGTACTTGAATTCAGCAAAATAACCCAATATAGTCCAATAGTCCACAATAGTAGTGAGCTACCAGCACAACTGGCAATTGTCCAAAGTTGTTGACTTGAGCCTTTTATAGCTCAGCATATTAATATGACATTACTTTTTATACCTCATGGTAATACTTTTCTGCTGCATGGTTAAGACAAAGTTAAAGTAAGACAAATAACAAAAAATGTAACTTTTGTATCTGACAAGGACAGTCAAATCCCCTCAGGATTTACCCTGAAACCATGTATAGCACCTTGTGGATCTTTTATCAGTGTCAGCCATCTGGATGAGTCATGGCCATTGTTTGACCAATTTGTTTTCTGTGAAAGCCTGAGAGAATTTTTTTCTCTCTAGGCGACTCTCCTTAGACACACTATTTTACTGCCAACTTTACTACCATTCAAACTTCCCTTGCTTTCAAGCAGTGACTTTTAACATACCAAATGTTTCAAAAAATTTAAAAAAATGTTCCTCCACTAAAATTTCATAGGCTGAATAAATTTGTACTTTCATAGACAAAACTGGCAACATACTTTGCACAGTCCAAAGTAAGAGAAGTATATGAGATCTTGAGCTGTTGAGAAGTTCAGATAAGAGTGGGTTTGTGCAGCATTAGGTTAGAGGTGTGGCCTCCCTGAATGTGAGAAGCTTTGAGACCCCATCACGTGTGTGCCAAGAGCTGTTCATGGGACAAGGGCTCTGAGGCCAGCCTTGCTTAGTTTAGCTGTGCTTCCAGCAGCTTAGCTGACTTCCTAACAGCTTCATGGTATGAATAGCACAGAAGTGAGGAGAGAAATCCTTATGCCTGCTCCCAGAATCATGCTAGTGATCCATGGAAAGCACTGAAGGCAGTGGGGACTTCAGCAAAGTGGAACTCACCAGGGAGGCAAGGCCATCAGGTTGTAGTCCAGATTATTTGCCTAATGAAAAAGGAGAAGTATATACCACTTTTGTGATAGGAAGTGAGGAGTAGAGGAAGCTCTAGGGAACTTCCCCCACCACACAAAGGAGGAATCTCATGTATCCTTCAAAAGAATGGTGACAGAAGCTGTACCTTTAGGTCTTGGAGTTAATTTATGTGTAAGATTAACGAAACTGACAGTGATTATTCAAATGTTGTTTACATTTTCAATTTATAGAACAAAATATTTATTTTAGTTTCTCTTCCTTTAAAAATAGAATATATCTATTATTATAATTTAGATTTTTAAAACTGTGTATGTAGAGACTACTACTGATCAGTCTTTTAGGATGACAAGAAGCAAACCAAATGCTTTCCAAATTGAAGTACATAGGCTTAAATTTTCATCTGTGTCTACTGATTCTGTGACTTTATGAAAGTTAGTTGATGTCTCTGAGATTTAAGTTTTTAATCTGCATTTTTTTAATACCAGGAATTGAATTAGGCACCTTTGCTTGGCAGGAAATCTGTAATTAAAAAAAAAAAAACTAAGAAAAACATCAGAGAATTACTGTAAGGATTCAGTGCATAAAGGCTTTTAGTGCAGTACTTGACATTACAAGAACTCAAAAAATGAAACAGATATTATTTTGTATAATAGTATTTTACATAGATGCCTATACATATATTCATTTTTATCTTATATATATAATTTTAAATATAATTTATAGCTATCTATATTCTATTTATATAATATATTTTGAAGTTGCTGAGTTTTAGGCTCTGAGAAATGAGGAATAGGATTCAGTGTTTGGCTTACTGTAATAAATTTTCTGCTTTGAGCTTCCTTTTATTATTGCTAACTTTACATTTAACTTATATGGCATTTGAATTGAAATACTCCTGCCTGTCCGGATAGGGATTTCCTCAATACAATCCTCATGCTTCAAATCAAGCACACGGAGTGTTTACTTGAATATGAAACTAACGCAATCCTCAGAAGAAGCCAGATGTGTTTCCTGTCTGAAATGGAGGTAATGTGCTCGCAGACACGGCTCGGAGCAGAGAATGGGATGCATAAATTGCCATTGCCCAAGTTTATCTTAGTTAGACAACACTTTCTCCCTAATCCATAGCCACCTGATGTGTTTTTTATGTGTCACTTGAACTTAATCATAGAAAGCAAAATGAAAACACTGAAGTATTAGTGTCCCTCCACCAGTACACTTACATGATGTATAGTCAGGTTTCTCCCCAGATTTTCAGTTTTATAGTTCCCTCAAAATTGTCTGCTAACAGTTGATTTACTGTATACCCACTACAAATTCACCAAAATTTCCAAAAATGAAGAAAACTTAGATGCAGCTGTATACTCAATATAAAGTGTTTCCTGTTCTTTATTATTTAAATAGGAAAATTAGGAATGCTTCTCTGTTGTTTTGGTAGTGGATAAAATTTTTTCAAATGTGGTGTTCTCAAAGTCTGTTAAATGTGTTCTGAGCAAAAGGAGGTGCCTGTTTTGTGTCTCCACAGACGTTCTCCTGTGTGACTATCTCTGAGTTAGATGATTGGCTGAATAAATTATCCCCAGTCTTCTGAATTATTAATCTTGGCTGCATGATATGCAAATCAGTCTGTATTAACTGTGTCCAGCAGCTCTAGCGCTGGGTCAGAAGCTGCGTCCAGTGGCCGGCAGAGGCTCTGTCAGGGAGAGGCATTCCACCAGAATGGTAAGCTGCACCACGGCTCCTGCCTCTCCTGTCAGAAGCGCTGCCAGGCTGCGGGCCGGGGCTGGGGTCTTAAGGAGTGGACTGCGGGTGGGAGGGTCTGTGTGCAAGTACACTACTCTTAAGTAGATGTAAAGCAGCAGACCACAGTAAAAGGAAGTCAACAATTTTGCTTTTACACTTATTGCTTTCAAAATTAAATATTTTGTTCGTAATTGCCAATTTAGTAATACATCTTTCACCAAAACTAATAATTTATTTTATTTGAACAGACATAGCTACTGAAAAAGATAAAAAATTCTTTGAAATAAGATATCATGTACATTTTAAGTATAAAGACCAATGTATTAGAGATATTTGAAAGTGTCCTAAATATTAAATTTAGCATTTATGTCTCCAAATGAGAATACTGAAGAATAACATTTACTAAAGAAGGTAGAAAATTACAGAAACTGCAATTTTTCATTAGAGTGTCTCAAAATTTATATTCTTAAAGGAAATTATTAAATGTAAAGCACAAAGTCACATAATAACTTTTTATTAGCTTATTTTCTGGAATGACTTCTGGTGTACATAAAAATGAAGATATCAGTATTAAATATTGTATCTTTTAAAATATGAATATTTTTATTTATATTGTTAGCAATAAAAATATGATTTGTAAATCTGCATTATAGTAGCAGCACAACACCTGTCTGGCAAGTGCAAGGCCCTGAGTTCAATTGCTGGTACCATAAAAGTTAAAAATTAAAAAATAAAATAAAATTTCACAAAGTTTGATGGCTGTAAAAAATTAAATTCTGCAAAAGATCAAATATATTACATTCAAAATTCAGTGTGAACCAACTTTACATTTTTAGGATGATAGATTTTAGGATGATAGATAGATAGATGAAAGAAATGTTCTCAAACTTAAAATGAGCACTGGTAACTGTACATGTGAATAATTTAGATGCTGCTTCTAACTTACTTCTTCTCAAGGGGTGAGATGTAGTTTTGGACTGGGAACTAATAATTTCACTTTATTTGCCAATACTTGTTAACAAAACTGTTAGAAAAAGTTTTTTGTACTTAGAAATAGTTTATCTAAATCAGTTTTAATCTATTTTATCCCTACTTGCATTTCTTATAACAATGACTGGAAAATGGAAGAGAAACTGCTAGTTTTTCAAGAAAACTTTTTCCCTTTAACCAGGAGTATTATTTAAAGAAACACTTAGTTCCCCAATTTGTACGACCACAATAGCTACTTTGAAAGCACTCAATAGGTAATCTTATTTGTTATAAAATGTCTTCAGTATTGTGGCTCCTAGTGAAATTAAATTGACCTGCAAATATTGAACAGCCTACCTTATATAAATATCATAGGCTCAGAAAAAAATTTAAGTGTGAAATAAATGCATCAAAGAAATGGGGGCCAGGGAGATGGCTCAGTAGAATAAGCACTTGCCTGGCAAGGGCAAAGGTGTGAGTTCAATCCCCAGTTCTGCCAAAAAAAAAAAAAA